CCTGCCAGCCAGGAGCCTGTGGACTTACAGACTCCTGAGGACAGTACTGCAGCAGAAAGGCAAAGACTGGATCCTGTAGCTGAAAGCTATCTAAGTGGTGAGGAGGATAGAGCCTCCCAGGGAACACCTGCAAGGGATCAGTCTCTGCTGCAGCCCAGTAATTCATCATCAGACTCGCCTCCACCTGTAACCAGGCTCCGGAATGTAAGGAGACAGCAGCTGAGAGAGCGAAGGCAGAATGCACACATGCGTGCCAGAAGATCTCTTAGCCCTAAATATTGACAGGATCCTGACCTCGCTCCCGGCTAGCTAATGAGTTGATTAGCTAGCACTGTATATCTGCAAGTCTGTTGCCAGCAGTCATTTGTGCTGGCAAATGTTGTTTGTCAGGACCCGAATCCTTGCATCTCTGCTCCAGACCTTGTGGAATTCTTATCGGCTTGATCCTCGGCTTTTGACCCTCGGCTTCGTTGACCCTGCGTTCATCTCTGACTCCTCTGGTATCATTGTGATTTATGGACTTGAAACCTTGGTATGTCTGACCCTGCTTTTGGACTGTGATTTAAACCTGTTTGAACCTTGCTACCTGATTTGCTCGGCTTGACCTTGGACTGTTCCTGGACTTTTGCTTGCTTGCGTCACGCCCCCTGGTCCTGCCGTGACAGGCGGCTGCTGCCAGAGCCACATTTTTAAAAATCTGCACAGCCCATCAAATCTCCAGTGTGGCCCATCGGAAGCCCTGCTGGGCAAAAGCCCCACCCGGCCCACTTCCTGAAAACACTGAAGTGGGGGCACCAAGAAAGGTGTGGCCGGGGACCATGTTGGGGACCCCTGGCATAACCAGTAAGGCTGGACAAGATCTCTTCGGCATCAAGAAGCCTGTAATGGGCCGTTCCGGCCAGGCGGTGGCAGTATGGAGCTGCGACTCAAAGAGTCCTGGAGAGGAAGAGCTGACGTCATCCAGCCAAGCCAAGCCGAGTGGGGAAAATGCCGTCCGGATCACGTCTGAGTTGCAACTGAACAAATCCCCGTCGGCTGCAAAACGTGTGCTATTTAAAGATTATATGTGTTGTCCTCCCTTACCCCTATGAAGCATTGTTAGTCCCTTGTGAAATGAGTAACTGTAAATCGCTCAGAGCCAGCAGCTCTGCAAGGATTGAGCGATCAATAAATTGAAAGATGATGATGATGATGATGATGATTACCCAAACTCCAGCCATTCAGTCGTGCTGGCTGTACCAGACGAAAAGTCTTGTGGCACACGAGGGCTTAACAAATTTACTGCAGCGTAACTTTGTGGGGCAGAGCCAGGGTCGTCAGACACACGTGACACGGCCCAAGGGTCAAATAGAAAGGGGGCACCGGGAGGTCTGTGACTGGGCTCTTGGCATTCCCCAAATGCTAACAGAAGCTAATCAGGGGTACAGCGGAGGGGGGGAGGGGAGAGTGTCTGTCTTCCCCTCCCCCAGCCGTTTTGACAAACAAAACCACCTCCTGTTCTGTTGGCACTCAAAGGAAAAAGACAGTGCTAATCCAGACAAGACTTTTGTTTAATTTTTCTTATCTGCTACGTACATCTTGTACTTTTGTTCTGAAAAAAATCCGGTTGTTTTTTTACCACTGGAAACGCTGTCCAGGGCAGCTGGGGCGGCGTGGCTCCATGACGGTCACAAGGGTCAGCCAATCAGCACTCTGCATCTCTGGCGTCCCGTTGGAAATGGCAGGAACGAGGGGCTCCTGAGCCAAATTCTCCAAGAGAGGCTGTGCGGGTTTGCCTGGACCACAGCAGCATCACCCCCTCAAGCCACAGACCGTGTGGCGCGCGTGGGTGGCGGGGGGGGTGGCGAGGTGACCCCGGACCTCCTTGGTGGTCTCCCACCCAAGCACTCACCGGGGCCGATCCTGCCTGGCTTCCTACATCTAAGCAAGCTGGACAACTTCCATGAAGGGGGCGGGGGGGGGGAAGAAGAAGAAGAAGAAGAGATTGGATTTATACCCCATGGCCCTTCACTTGGAGTCTCAGAGCGGCTTACAAACCTCCTTTCCCTTCCCCTCCCCACAACAGACACACCCTGTGAGGTGGGTGGGGCTGGGAGAGCTCTGACACAAACTGCTCTTTTTCAAGGACAGCTGTGCCAGAGCTTGTGACTGACCCAAGGTCACACCAGCAGGTGCAAGCGGAGGAGTGGGGGAATCAAACCCGGTTCTCCCAGATTAGAGTCCGCACACTTAAGCACGACACCAAACTGAAAAGTAGTATGTGGAGCTATCCCGCCGATGCTTGACGGGAATGGTCGTTCTGCTGTCTGGTATGCTGCACTTGACTGGGAAAAATCCCTATGAGGGTGACCAAGGTCTGTGACCACACTGCTTGCTGGACTTATGCCACAACTGTGGACCTGCATAAGGCTGAGTTAATCAGTGATGGGGAGCAGGCTCCATAGAAGACCCTTCGGGCTTCGCTGTAAAACATGAGTCCTAAACAGAAGGTGAAACTACGTGGGAGCAGTAACCGCTGGAGTGCTGAGAGCTCAAGCTGAACACAAATTCTTGTGGATAACGATTTCCGTTTATCATTTAAGATGACAAAAAGTGTGCTTCAAAAGGAAACCACTGTTAATTGTTACACAGGGGTAGTTGAGGCAGCTTGCTGCAGCAAACTGCAAGGAAGAGTTTTGTGGCTCTTAAAGACTAAGAGATTTATGGAATCATTCATGGACTAAAGCCTCCGGGCCAAACTACAGGTTACATTTTACGCCAGCTCACCAGAGAGACCTGAAGCCATATTGCAACCACGAGTTCCCAGGGGCAACTCCATTTAGAAGTGCCGCAGAGGCCTGATTCAAACTGGGACTGTGGCGCGGGCAGAGGAGGGACTCCTGCCTCCCCCTGCATCATGGCCCCAAGCCAACTTGGGAGCTGCCCCAGGAACTGCCCCAGGAACTAAGTGGCTAAGTCGGTGGAGACTGGGAGGCGAGCGACAGAGTGCACGCGGGCGCGGCAGAGCCTTGCCGGATGGAGCCGACGCCGGAAGCGAGCACAGAACGTGCGCCTGTGCGGTCCTGCCGTCAGCCGCCCAGGGAGTCACCGGAGACTGCCGCCAGGAAAAACATCAAGAGCCTGCCGAAGAAGACGCCGAGCCGAGCCAGGATAACAAAGGATCCACCACCTGGGTGCTGGTAGGCTGTCCCGTCCCCAGAAACATGTGTGGCCCTAGTTAGGTTTCAGCGTGATTAGAATGCATCATGTGAACCGCCCAGAGACCCTTAGGGGTTAGGGCGGTATACCAAGTCGAAGGTATAAATAAGTATAAATAAATATAGGCTGCAACACGGCCTTGCCAGCTACGGATCAGAATGGCAGCCAGAGGATTTTGCTTTTAATCACTGTTATGTCACTTCCAGGGAAAATGCAGAAGTGATGTAGGGTAGTTCTAGCAACTGCCGGAAACACTATGGTTTTGCCGTAGTTTTCGGTGATTCCTAGAGCTACTCTATATCTCTTCTGGGTTTCCCATGGAAGTGATGCGGCAGCACACATAATGGTACGCCCCCCACCCCATCTTCCTGCACCTGAACCTCCCACCTGTTTCCAGGCACAGCCTGGAAACCCTAAATATGGCAGCAATTCACCAGGTCGAACCTGTGTAAAATGCACAAGGGAAGGAGGACACAGCCAAGGAAAGCAAGAGGTGCAAACTGTGAAGTTTCTATGCAAAACTCAGAAGTACACAAAGGGAGTACAGTGTGCTCCAGTAGCCAGAGTGCCATACCAGGACCCCTGCTCAGCCATGAAGCCAATCACACTCTGTCTCCCTAACCTACCTCAACGGGTTGTTGTGGAGACAAAAGAAGAGGGGAGCACCCCAGGTGCATGACACCATGCTCCTGGGAGGAATGCAGGGTAAAAATGGACGGATGCAGCCGTTGGGCGCATCAAGAAGTAGAGAGACCCCAGCCCAGCACCACTGCCCTACGATTCACAAAACCAAAATAGGACCCACGGTAAGTAGGAAATACCATAAATCAGCAAATACCATGCTACAAACGATATTAAATATCTCAAATAATTTATATATATTTTGTGTTTTATATTTTTACAATTTATTCACCATATATTATTTATCATATAAGCCTTAATACATAGAAAGAATCATATATCAAAACATCTTAATATATCACAAAAGATATTGCACAGCCCCTTGATCAATATCAGTCCTCCTTAATTATACAAAAGTTTTAAGAGGGAGGACTCCTTTAAGTCTATTTTGAATAAGTGCTCAGTCTTCCTTGTGCTTTTCACTTTGGAGGAAGCTTTGAGCTCACTAAGAGAGACTTTTTGCAGCGTTTATTGAAAAATTTGGATAAATATTTTGGTATTTGGCCTCCTTGTGCTTGGAAATATCTATTGAACTCCCTGAGGAAGACACTGAAACGAGAGGATATCTGGACCTCTGTTGGAGGAAGGTAAAGGTAAAGGTAAAGGTTCCCTTGCTTGAAAGCCAGTCGAATCCGACTCTAGGGTTGCGGTGCTCATCTCCGTTTCAAAGCCGAAGAGCCAGCGCTGTCCGAAGACATTTCCGTGGTCAGGTGGCCGGCATGACGAAACACCAAGGCACACTGAACCTTTCCACTGAAGTGGTACCTATTTATCTACTTGCAATTTCTTGCTTTCGACCTGCTAGGTTGGCAGGAGCTGGAACTAGAGACGAGAGCTCACTCCGACATGCAGTACCCGGGTCTCGAACTGCTGAACTACCGACCTTCCACAGCCTGCAGTTCAGCGTCTTAACCACTTGAGCCACCGCAGCTCAAGGAGGAAGACTGAACACTAATTCAGAATAGACTTAAAGGAGTCCTCCCTCTTAAAACTTTTGTATCATTAAGGAGGACTAATATTAATACAGGGGTTGTGCAGTATCTTTTG